CTAGCGCCCCCCCCCCCAGGTGACGCTGCCTTGTGTCTCCCCCCCTTCTGCTGCTACGTGCCTCTCCAGTGCTCAAGCTGGGTGCTAAGCTGGGCGCACTGGGTGGGGGGGGGGAGAGGGGGCTACAAGGCTCTTCAGAGGGTGGCCCTTCTGCTTTTTCTTCCCCCCCGCCCACTTCCCCCCATCTCTCCTCCCCCCTGGGGCACCGGGACCACCCCCAACTGCGTGCACCCCACCCCCTTGCTCCCCGCGGGGGCGGCACCAAGGAGACTCACCGAGGGCAGCGTGGAGGAATCGTCCGGTCTGAGCAGGCCCGTCTCGGAGGAGGAAGCGGCGGCAGGTCTGCTCCAGCTCCCTCTATGCACCACAGACGCCTATCTGAGCCGCTGGGCCCTTCAGGCGGTGCCATCTGCCTCCTCCCCGGCCTGCAGGCTACCTGCGCCTCAGGACAGGCCCCGAGCGCAGCGGGGGGGCCGCTTCCTCCCTCCTCACTTCCTTCCTCGCCCGTTTCTGGGCACACTGGGTGCCAGACTCGGGGTGAAAGAGGCAGCGGAGGTGGAAGTCCCCCGGTCAGGGACTAGATGCATGCAGGGCTTTTGGTGGGGGGCGGGAGGGGGCAGTTTGGTGCCCCTAAGGGCCAGCCCACTCTAGGCAAACACCTAGTTCACCTAGTGAGCAGGCCGGCCCTGTTTGTAGGTTACATGATTCCACTCCCTTGCTTTATCCTTGCATCTCCAGCTAGAAGAGTAGAGCATTTATTTATTTACCCATTTATAGTCCACCTTTCTTACTGAGACTCAAGGCGTATTGTAACTAAAAACAACGCAGGCCTCGGTCACACGGCAAAGTTGCCGCGGGAGAGGCACGGGAGTCCCGCAGATTTTCCGGGCGCGATCTCACCCCAACATCTGGGAAGCGCAGTGCTCCCGTGGCGAACCCGTGGCTCCCCGCCGAAAGTGCGGAGTTAAAAACTAGTACCTACGAGGTACTAGTTTCCTGAAACCGCGGGCCAAGGGCGGGCGTCTGATCGCGTTCCCGGTGGACTTATGTGGCATCCGCCGCCCGCTGCTGTTTGTCTCCGTAGGTTGCGCAACAGTGCCCAACAGCGCATGCGCACAAAGAGCGATTTCTAGTGCGATCGCGTGGCGCGGCTTCTGTGCTGCGCTGCAGGATACCTGTCTGATCGGCATTTCCCCCGAACCACGGGACCTCGACCAGGATGTGTGCTTGGGCAGCCGTGCATTAGTTTCCTCCGGGGCAATTAGCCACGCCTCCCCCCCGCAATATCCGGCCCGTGTGACCGGGGCCACAGTAAGAACAGTATAATCCATACAGCCTACAAAATTAGAGACCACTGTACTGAAAACAAAGTATAATACAGACAGTAAAGCAGTGAAACAAAGTTTGAGCCCAGTAAGACCAACAAAGTTTTATTCAGTGTATGAACTTCTGTGTGCATGCATACTACCTCAAATACAATGAAATGGAATTTACCTGTCCATATGTATAAGCTGCGGTGGCTCAAGTGGTTAAGACGCTGAACTGCAGGCTGTGGAAGGTCAGTAGTTCAGCAGTTCAAGACCCGGGTACCGCAAGACGGGGTGAGCTCCTGTCTCTAGTTCCAGCTCCTGCCAACCTAGCAGTTCGAAAGCAAGAAATTGCAAGTAGATAAATAGGTACCACTTCGGTGGGAAGGTAACAGCGTTCCGTGCGCCTTGGTGTTTAGTCATGCCGGCCACATGACCACGGAAACGTCTTCGGACAGCGCTGGCTCTTCGGCTTTGAAACGGAGATGAGCACCGCAACCCTAGAGTCGGATTCGACTGGCTTTCGAGCAAGGGAACCTTTACCTTTACCTATGTATAAGGTAGAGCAAATTAGCGTACAACATAATGATAGACAACAATGGTAAGCAAGATTTCTAAAAATGTGAACAGTTCAAGGTTTTGTTTTTTAAAAAACCATGGAGAATTAGGATCAGCCTACAGTTTAAAAAATGAAATTAAAACAAAGCAAAGTAATAGTAGCTATTAAAAACAAATGTCTGTTTTAAGGGCAGTTTCACTAGAAGGCAGCAGACCAATTTTGAGGTATATGCATACATGTATAACAAAACCTTCTTGAGAGTAAGCTCCATTTAATAAAACAGGACTTACTTTTGAGCAGACCTATTTAGGATTGCTCCCAAATTCATCCTCCCTCTCTCTTGGAGATCCCTGTACTATAAGCAAGGGGCCAGGAGGAGAAATTTTGCTTGGCTTGGGTGGGGAATGGAAACATTTCACTCCTGGCTTTGCTGACAACTAACACCAGAATGAAGGGAAATGAATGCTCCCCAGGCCCTCTTGGCTTGAAGAAACAGTTGACAATATTTGACCATACTCTTAACAGCAGACTGTCAATAGGAATATTTGATGGGTGAATTGTCCACATCCAAACAGAATAAATAGTATGCCTTCTTCCCAAGTAACCAATTAAGTCACTGCTGCCTTAGTTACACCAATATCTGTTTTCTGGGGGGGAGGGGAGAAATACATATTCTTCTTTTTCCATAGAGGGGCTAATATTAGTGTGTGTGGAATTTTTGATAGCAGAGATACTGGTTTTGGAGCAAAGTTGACCTAATCACCTGAAGTTTGGTGTAGTGGCCTGGAATAACAAAGCAGTAAAGGGATGGCAGTCCTGAGACAGAATGGACTACAACTCAGTACCCATTTAACTCAATGTAACAACAATCCCAAGCAGGTCTACTTAAAACCTTTCTGAGGGCTTACTCCCAGCAAAGTGTTTTTAGGATGACCTTGAAGCATCCTACAGGATTTACATATCTGAAAGATGTGTCCCCCCCCCCCCCCCCCCCCCCGCCTGCGCACCTATTTTAAAAGTAAACCAGTCTGATGAATATTTCTGGAGACCCTGAAAGCTTGTACGTTGTTTTGTATCATTTTTAACTGTATTATTCGGCTTTGTACTTCACTATGGACCAATCTCTTCAGACAGCAGGTGCAAAAAAGCAAAGTTTTTTGGCGTTCCTTCGGATTAAAATATCTCCCTACGAACAGAAAACTAGCATAGCCGGGAGAGCGGTCCTCTCTGCTTACTTTGCTAGTTTCCTGTTTGCAAGGCGCACTGGAGTCCAGTCTACCACCTCAGGTCTCTTGTCACCTTACTTCCCCGAGTGGGTGAACCAGACCGGAGTTATCACCAGCCAAGGGTTCCCCGGTCGAGGCTGCATGGCAAGCATCACCTCGGCCACAGACGCTATAACCCTCGTTGTCCTCTTCCACAGCCAGAAGCCAAGCCATACCCACAGTGCTGCGCAGTTTTCCATTCCACCTCGATCCGGAATTACCACACCCACTCCAGTCCAGTCCTGTCCGGTTCCCCAGAAAAAGGAGGGGGGAACAGCCCTACGCCCACTTCAGCTTCTCCTTTGCAACACGTCAGGGGGCGCGGCCGCCGACGTAACGTCACTCGTAGAGCACGTGGTGTGTGCCGGTTATAAATAGGCCCTTCACTCGCGCGCCCTCTGAGGTATAAGCGTTGTGTCTGGAACGGGAGAGGAGGGAGTAGGACTTTTCTTTCTTTCAAAAATCATCCCTGTCACCCTCACTTCACAACGCGGGCCCAGTCGGTGAGTGTGGCGGGGGGGGCTTGGCCCTTTCTCCCCCCCCCCCCCCCCCCCAAGTAGGGTCTGCCCTTGTCTTTCCTGCGCTGAAGCGGCGGCTGTGTCTGGCGGGAAGGCGCGCGAGGGCGACCGTTGAGAACCGCGCGCGCTTGGGGAAGGGGCGGGCCCCCTTCTTCGTTTCAGAGTCTCTGTGCGTTTTTTCCTTCCTTTTCCCGGGCGGGCGAACCCTTTTGGGGGGGGGGGCTCCTCCCTCCTTCCCTCCCTCCCTCGTGGCGGCCTGAGAGATTCTCATTCTCCTTGCCGGCCCGGCCGCTGCAGCGTCTAGAGGGCGTGAGAAAAGGCCATTCTCTCTGCTCTGCTCGCTCTGTCCCTGCGTTCCTTCCTCGCGGTGGTCTCCTGCCTGACCCTCTTGTGTCCCTCGTGGCTGGGGGGGGGGGGGGCGGGGGGGCTGTCCCAG